CCTCCTCCTCCTCCTCCTCCTCCTCCTCCTCCTCCTCCGTTCTGCCCAGAGTTTCCAAGCGAATCCAGCGGCGGCGACGAGGGCCTCACGGGCGGCCCAGCAACGGCGAACGCGGAACGCGGGGAGCGGTACCGTTGCGCGGTCTCTCTCGGAGGTGCAGGGCCCTCCAGGGACGGGGAAGACGTCCACGGCGCTGCGAATCATGCAACACTGGGTCCGCGGCTCCCGGGAGATCCTGTGGGGCAGGAAGACGGCGCTGCTGGCCACCAGCGACTCCAACATCGCGGTGGACAACCTGGTCGAGGGGCTCGCGAAGCAGGGCGTCCGTGTCGTGCGGCTGGGGCGGCCAGAGATGTCTCGGCCCGAGCTCCTCGAGTACTGCGCCGACGAGATCGCCGCGAAGGCCTGCGGCGTGACCAAGCTGAGCGAGCTGAAGGACGCGGCAAGGGCCAAGGCACGTGAGGAGGTCCATCGAGCGGTCGAGAGGGCAGAGGTTGTGTGCTGCACATCCATGGGCGCGGGCAGCGGCATGCTGGCCGACTACACGTTCCCACGGGTGCTGATGGACGAGGCGTCCCAGGCGACGGAGCCGTCCACCATCGTGCCCATCTGCAAGGGATGCTTGCAGCTGGTGCTGCTCGGGGACCACTGCCAGCTGCCGCCCACCGTGGGATCCGACCTGGCCGCGAAGGAGGGCCTTGGGCTCTCGCTCTTCGAGCGCCTCGCGCGCTCCGGGGTGAAGCCCACGCTGCTGCAGCAGCAGTACCGGATGCACCCGGCCATCTCGGAGTTTCCGCGCGAGCATTTCTACTCCGGCGAGCTGGGGGACGGCGTCAGGGCCGAAGACCGGCAGACCCCGAACGGGTTCAGGTGGCCGGTCGCCAACATGCCGGTGGCTGTGGTGTCCGTGCATGGGCGCGAGAGGCCTGAGGGGACGTCCTGGATGAACGATCAGGAGGGCCAGAGGGTGGTCGAGGTGGTGCGGGGGTTCCTGCAAGGAGGCTTCCAGACCACGGAGATCGGCGAACAGAAAACGACACAGACGTAAACTTAAGTCGGGCCTGTCCCTCTACAGTGGGAATATTCAAAAATAGTCAAAAAATAGTTTGGGAACTTTTTTTTGACTATTTGTGAGCATGTTTGGAGCATCTTCAGGGTATTTCTGATTTTTCGTCCGAAATCCCCCTGTAGGATCACAGGGCCGACCTAAACGTAATCCTGTGGAGGTCCGTGCAGATTTCGCGGGCACCAGGGGCGGCGCCGAAGGCGCCACCACGGAGGGTCCAGCGCCGACTCAAGAATCAGAGGAGCAAGGACTCACCTAGTTGTCTCGACACGCACGTTTTGATACGCAACACGTGCCGTACTCAAAACGTCCGTGTCAATACGTTGCGTGTTGACTCAACGTATTGGCCCTCGTTTTGGCGAACCTATCGCGTTAGACTTACGTTTTCAGTGTCTTTGCGGAGCTCCGTCTCAATACGCTACGTGTCGCGTGTTGCGTATCGGGGCAGCTAACAGAATTAGTGATCATGCTACTTTCCAGGATTCCCAAGATTTGCCGAAAGTCGCCATTCTTCCTCGCAGGCTCCAGGAACGAAGGCCGCTGGACCCTCCAGAACTCCTGGGACGCGTCCTGAGACAACGGCGAAGAGTGTTCGTCCTGGGTAACCGGCGAAGAGTGCGTCCGAGACAAGACGCGTCCTGGGACTCCTGGCGAAGAGTGCTCGTCCTAGGGTAACCCGTGCGGACCTCCGAAAGCATGTGCTTGCGTGGTTTTCCGTTTCTTTTGCAGGAGATGGGGGTCGTGACGCCGTATGGCGCCCAGGCCCGGCTCCTGCGCACAATGCTGAAGAGGGCCAACATCAGGACGGGCCGGGATTTCGGCGGGATTGAGGTGAATTCCGTGGACTCCTTCCAGGGGCGAGAGAAGGAGGTGATCATCATGTCGACCGTGCGCGCGAGCGACCACGGAGGCATCGGCTTCACCTCGGACTGGCGACGGGTCAACGTCGCGTTCACGCGCGCCAAGCAGGGCCTCGTGGTGGTCTGCAACCCGGAGATGACGACGACGACGACGACGACGACGACGACGACGACGACGACGACGACGACGACGACGACGACGACGACAGCGACAGCGACAGCGACAGCGACGACGACGCCGCCTCGACGACGACGACGACAACGACGATGCCGACGATGCCGACGAAAACGACTACGACGCCGACCATAAATGCAGTCAAGACGTTGAAACAGGATCATCTCGGGCACAGTTCGGGGGCGGCCAAGAGGGGGGGTGATGACTAGGGGGGAGTGGATACCATGGCGTGGGCCATGATATTTCCCCAGGCTTCATGGCACCTCTTCTTATCGAAGACGCCCACGGCGAATCACCGCCGTCCCCTGCCTTTTTGGAAACGCCTATGTGGCCGAACGTTGTGGCCAGAGGCTTGCCAAGCTATCGGACCATGTGTTCCCCGTCTCGGTTTGGAAAGCGTTCGGGGAACACGGTGGGCGAGGCTGGGCCGACTTGGGGGCCTTTCTTGGGATGTTCCAGGGCCGTCTTGGGGCCCATTTTGAGCGTCTTGGAGGCCTCTTGGGCCGTCTTGGGGGCCTCTTGGGGCCGTCTTGGGGGCCTCTTGGGCCGTTCTGGGGCCATCCTGGAGACCTCTTGGGCGATCTTTGGGGGCTCTTGGGCCGTCTCGGGCCGTCGGAAGGCCGAAAAATAGCAAATGCCATAATCCTTCAAAAACTCATGGGAAATCAACGATGTTGGCCTTTTCCGACCTTCCTGGAGGCCCTCTTGGAGGCCTCTTGGGCCGTCGTGGGCCATCTTAGGGCCATCTTCGGCCGTCTTGGTGGGCTCCCAGCCCGTCTGACACCGTCGGAAGCCGTTCGGGGGCCCTCTCTGGGCCGACTTGGGGCCCTCTTGGGGTGCTTCAGGGCCGTCTTGGAGGCCATCTTGGGCGTCTTAAAGGCCTCCTGGGCCGTCTTGGCGACCGTTCTGAAACCATCTTGGAGACCTCTTGGGCGACCTTTGGGCGATCTTTGGGGCCTCTTGGACCGTCTCGGTCCGTCGGAAGGCCGAAAAATGAGAGACAAATGTCCAAATCCTTCAACAACCTTAGGACAATCAGTGTTTTTGGCTTTTTCTGGCTTCCCTGGAGGCCATCTTGTAGGCCTCTTGGGCCGTTTTAGGCTAGCTTCGAGCCAACTTCGGCCATCTTGGTGGATTCGTGAAACGTGTGGCGCCAATGGGAGCCGTCTTGGGGGCCTCTCTGAACCGACTTGGGGCCCTCTTGACGGAGGGGGCCTGTGCGGCGGGGGAGCATAGGAACCTCGTCAGCATGTGCAGGGTGATAGCAGTGGCCACGGCCAAGACATGGGGCTTGACACGCGTTGGACCAAGGGTCACGATCGCTTCGGGGCCGTCTTGGAGGCCATCTTGGGTGTCGTGGAGGTCTCTTGGGGCCCTCTTGGGGCCGTCTTGAAGGCCTCTTCGGCCGTCATGAGGCCCTTTTGGAGACCTCGTGGGCGATGGTGGGGCGATCTTGGCGGCCTCTTGGGCCGTCTTGAGCTGTCGGAAGGCCGAGAAAAGGCGAATGTCAAAATCCTTCAAAAACCAAAGGACAATCAATAATTTTTGCCTTTGCGGGCCCTCCTGGAGCACCTCTTGGAGGCCTCTTGGGCCGTATTGAGGCCTCTTGGGCCATCTTGAGGCTATTGTACGCCATTTTGGGTACATCTTGGGCGGACTTGGAGGCATCTTGGGGCCATCTCAGCCGTCTTGGAGGCCATCTTGGCCGTCTGGGATGCATCTTGGAGGCCATATTGGGCCGTCGTGGAGCCGTCTAGTCCAGGAAAAACCCTTTGGAGCCGGGTCCAGGCACATTTTCGGCATCCTTTCGGGTGGCCAGCGGGACGGGCCGAAGCCCCAGGGAGAGTTCTTTTTGGAAAAAGAACCAAAACCCAAACCGAAATAGTTTGGCACGCCAGGCACCCCTGCGATCAATCGACAGGGGGCGGCGGATTTCATTACGTCCCCGGCCCCCCCCCCTGGGCCGCGCACGTGCAGCCGGCCATGATTTGCGCCCCCCCCTCTTGGACACCCCCCTCTTGGCCGCCCCCGAACAGGAGGGGAGCTGCCTTCCGGGCCGCTCCTGAGTTCCAGGCCGGAGAGCCGGCTTGAAGCCGAGGCTCCCCGTGGCCATCGAGCAGTCCCTCCGATCCTCCTTCGGCGCTCCTCGTGATAGCATCATGGCTGTGCTCCCAGAGCGGGCCCCCCGGCCGTCTTGACTTAAGTCGGGCCTGTCCATCTACAGGAGGAATATTCAGAAATTGAAAAAATAGTCTGGGGACGATGTTTCGATTATTTCTGTCATCCATTTGGGAACATTGTTTGGCTATTTCTGTTCCTTCCGAATTCCCCTCTGTAGGAGGACACGCCCGACCTAAGTCTTGACCCCCAAACCTCCGAGACGACGTACATCGAAGAGAGAACGTCATAAGCAGAAACTTTTGGCGCCCCGCGCGGATTTCTTGGATCTGCGCCGGGCCCCCCCTGGCGGCGCCTCCAGCGCCGCTCCTAGCGCGCTCCGCGCGCCAGGGAGAGGGGCTCCGGCGCAGATGCAAGAGATCCGCGCTGAGCGCCAACATTTTATGTGTACGCCGTGTTTTCTTCTTCGACATCTTATGTATACAATCGTTTTATGTGAGCGCCAACATCTTATGTGCACAGTCAAGGCGCTGAAAGAACGACCACTTTGGGCTCAGGAGGGCCGCTGGTTTTCGGGCCGTGCCTCAGTTCCAGGTCGGGGGGGGACCTATTCGAAGCCGAGGCTCGCCGTGACCAGAAACGCCCATGCGTTCCTCACTGAGCGAGCCTTATGGGAGTACGATGCCTGCAGTCGCCGCCGTGCTCGTCGTCGTCGTCGTCGTCGTCGTCGTCGTCGTCGTCTTTGCCGTCGTCGTCTTTGCCGTCGTCGTCGTCGTCGTCGAGGCGGCGTCGTCGTCGTCGTCGTCGCCGTCGAGGTGGCGTCGTCGTATTCGAGCTGTAGTCGAGATGTGTCGTCGTCGTCGTCGTCGTCGTCGTCGTCGTCGTCGTCGTCGCCGTCGTCGTCGTCGTCGTCGTCGTCGTCGTCGTCGTCGTCGTCGTCGTCGTCGTCCTCGTCGTCCTCGTCGTCCTCGTCGTCCTCGTCGTCCTCGTCGTCCTCGTCGTCCTCGTCCTCGTCGTCCTGGTCCTCGTCCTCGTCGTCGAGGACACGCTGGCGAGAGAGGACCGCACCTGGGCGCCCTGGCTGCGGTGGGCGGCGGGGAAGGGGCTCTTCTGCGGCCCCGTGCCGCGGCTGCCCCCGGCGAACCCGAACGCCGCGCCGGTCGCCGGCGGCGCGCAGAACAACGGAGGAGGAGGAGGAGGAGGAGGAGGAGGAGGAGGGGGAGGAGGAGGAGAAGGAGGAGGGGGAGCAGGATTGAGGAGGAGGAGGAGGTGGAGGAGGGGGAGGAGGAGGAGAGGAGGAGGAGGAAAGAGGAGGAGGATGAGGAGGGGGAGTGAGGAGGAGGGTGGAGGGGGGGAGGGGGAGGGGGGAGGAGGTAGGGGGAGGAGGAGGAGGAGGAGGAGGAGGAGGAGGAGGGGGAGGAGGAGGAGGAGGGGGACGCCGCGCCGGTTGTCGGCGGCGCGCAGGACAGCGGTTGTGTCGCGTTGTGTGGTTGTGGTTTTCTTGTGTTGGTCGAGACGATCCCCAGACCTTCAGCGTGTTCGAAAAGGCCCCCGGACCGTAAAACAAGAATCGCCCGGGACGGAGCAGCGGTCCCAGGGAAGTTGTCCAGAGCTTTTGTGCTGTTTTCTTGTGCTTGGGTGTGGCGGGGCGATCCTCGAGCCTCGAACCTCCCCTGTGATCCGGGCGTTGCAGTGTTCTCGCAACGAGCATTTTCGCCTGACTGATTTCGGGTCTCGGGGTCATCACATGCCGATCCGGCCCCAGAAACTCGGCAAAACGATGGGGCCTGGGGTCAGGGTCGTGATTTTTCTTTGCGACGTCGGATCTCAGGGTCGGCCAGCCCCGAAACCTCGACCAGCCTCGAAGCATTCACCAGCCTCGAAGCCTCGTCCAGCCTCGAAGCCTCGTCCAGCCTCGAGCCTCGTCCAGCCTTAGGTCGGCGGATTTGGGGCGAAACATTTGAACAAAAACAAAGACGCCCCCAAATGCCCAAAAATACTAAAACAATCTCCCACCGACTATTTTTAAAACTTTTTTTGAATACTCCTCCTGTAGAGAGACGTGCCCGACTTGACTCCCCAGACATGCGACGTCCTGATTTTTTCCATGCGGGGTCCCTGGAAGTCCCGACCGTTTGCCCAGGACCGGTTTTTCGTCCTGGGTCGTTTTTTGACGGTCCCGAGGCCCGGCGAGGGCCCCCCGAGGCCGAAAACGGCCAGAAACCTCCCGTCCTGAGAGGTCGGACGGGGCTAGGACGAGGATAAACCCCCAGACATGAATCGCGTCGTGAACAAAATCAGGACGGGAGGTTTCTGGCCGTTTTCGGCCTCGGGGGGCCCTCGCCGGGCCTCGGGACCGTAAAAAAAAAACGACCCAGGACGAAAAACCAGTCACGGAGAAACGGTCGGGACTTCCAAGGACCCCGTATGGAAAAAAATCAGGACGTCGCATGTCTGGGTCCGTTCGTTCCCCTCCAGAGCCGCCGGATCTCAGCGATCTTCGATATACTATCCTCACCATCTTTCATCCGCGTCCCGGCTTCGCCTTAAGAAGGAGAAGGCCTTCTCAGAAGGCGGCGGGGCTTCTCAGAAGGCTTTCGCCCTTCTGTGAGGTGTTCTGCGTCCTCGGTGAGGCTTCGGAGACTTCTCAGGAGGCTTGGGGACCTCCGAGCCTTCTGGGAAGGAGGCCCGCCCCTGCTCGCTGCCCCCCCCGGACTCGCCGCCGACCCAGGCCTCGAGCCCTCGCGTCGTGGACAAGAGTACGACGCTCGGCGTTTGGCAGGTTTCGGCCTCTGGCGGCCCTCGCCGGGGCCCTGGGACTGTCGATGAACGGCTCAGGATGACCTGGTCCCAGGGAGTGGGCCGTCGCAGTAGAAAAACGGCATGCACACAAACCGTCGGAGCTCCGCGCGGGTTTCTTGAATCTGCGCCGGGCCACCCTGGCGGCGCCTCCGGCGCCGCCCCTGGCGCGCTCCGCGTGCCCGGCTCTTAGCGTTGATCCAAGAAATCCGCGCAGAGTTCCGAACGCTTAGCTACACGCCGTTTTTGGTTTCTCTAAGTCTGTCGCCATGCTTCTTGGCCTCCAGAGGTTGGCCTCGGGCGGAGGAGCCAGAGGTAGGGCAGGAAAGGGCTGAGGGATGGGAGAGGAGGTAGAGGCAGGAAAGAGAAGATTAGAAGGGAGGAGGAAAGATAAGCAAACAATGAAGTACATGTTCTAAATGTGCAATGTCATGAAAGTGCTGTGTACATCATTCATCCGAGGCGGGAATTTATCCATATCCACCGCCAGGAGGGTCAGTTTTCGGAGCCTCGGCAGGCGGTGGATATGGACGTATTCGGACCCCTGGGGGCCGAAATATATCCATATCCACCGCCCGCTGGGGCACCAGGACCTCGGTTCCCAGGCGGTGGATATGGATAAATCCCCGCCTCGCAATTCAAGCACGCACACATGGCCTCGGGCTGGGGGGGCCGTCAGGAGCGATCCGCGAGAAGCTCACCCTGCGGGAGGGGCCGGGGTGTCCAGGGGCCCGCGCAGCGAGCCGCATCGGAGCGCCAGGCGTCTGGGAAGGAGGCGACGGCAGGGGCAGCGCTTCCAAAAGCGCGAGGAGGAGGAGGAGGAGGAGGAGGAGGAGGAGGAGGAGGAGGAGGAGGAGGAGGAGGAGGAGAGGAGGTGGAGAGGAGGAGGGGGAGGAGGAGGAGGAGGAGGAGGAGGAGGAGGGAGAGAGGAGGAGGAGGCGAGAGGAGGAGGAGGAAGGGTGTGGGAGGGAGGAGGAGGAGGAGGAGGGAGGAGGCGAGGAGGAGGAGGAGGAGGAGACCCAAGCCGCCTCGCAACGCTGTGCCCCCACTCCTCCTGGGGATGCATGGCTAGAGGCGTCAGTTGCCCATCTCTATGCCCCGCTCGATCCATTTTGCGAGTCGGGTTGATGTTGGCCATCGTTGCTGTCCTTTTACTCCGCTATACTTGCCGCCTTTCTCACCGCTGACGTATGCATGAGTGGACACCTCAGACGTTGGTCTTCAGGGCTGTGGGAAGAAGAAGGAGGAGGAGGAGTAGGAGGGGGAGAGGACAGGAGGAGGAGGAGGGAGGAGGAGGAGGAGGAGGAAGGAGGAGGCAGGAGAGGAGGAGGTGGGAGGGGCAACGGAGGTGGGGGGGGTGAGGGGGGGAGGGGGAGGAGGGGAAGGAGTAGGAAGGAGGAGGAGTAAGGAGGGAGGAGGAGGAGGCGGAGGAGGACGGGGCCTCTCTCGACCTGCACCCTTCTGTGAACCTTCCGCGCGGCCGGTGCCGCCGCGGCGTGGCCGCGGTAGCCACCGAGGCCGCCGCAGCTTTGCGGCACCTGCCCCGCAGAAGGTGCAACAGGGTGCACTGCGAAGGGCCCCGAGATCCGACGTTGCGACGGCATCCTCCTCTCCCTTCCCTCCTCCTCACTCCCTCCTCCCCTCCTCCACCCTTTCAATTCCTCCTCTTACTCATTCCTCCTCCTCTCTCTCATCCTTCTCTCCTCATCCTCCTCTCTCTACTCCTCCTCCTCCTCCTCCTCCTCCTCCTCCCCAGATCGAGCAGAGCCACTGCTCGAGCCAGATCGATCCTCTGGGATGGCCCCCCCGAAACCGCGCCGCACGCCGCCCAGCGTAAGAAACGTGTGCAGCGCCCGGATCTCCCGGGAGGAGGGCGCCGGGCTTCTTGCGCGAGCCCTCGTCCCCTTCCCGGAGACGCCCCCGCGCAGGCCTCACAGGGGCGGGGGGCTCCCCGATGGCCGCAGTTCTCGCCACCGCTCCGCGCGGCGCGCCGCCGGAGGACGAGAGGGAGGGAGGGTGGGCTCCTCCCCCAGGAGGTCGAGAGGGAGGGGAGGGAGGGGAGGGGGGGAGGGAGGGGGGGAAGGAGGGAAGAAGGAGGGGAGGGGGGGGGGAGGGGAGGGTGGGTGCCCGCCCCCCCCCGGCTCCCTCCCCCCCCCCCCTGCCGCGCCCTAGGTCGGCCTGAAGGCCATGGAGACCTATCGGGAGCCAAGCCCAGTCCGCGGGGCACAGGTCGGGCGGGGAAAAGTGCGCACGCGCACGCCCGCGCACGCGCACGCGCACGCGCACGCGAACGCGCACGCGCACGCGCACGCACACGCCCACGCCCACACACACACACACACACACCTACTCCACCCACACGCACACGCACGCGCACCCGCGCACGCGCACGCACACGCACCCCCCCCACCACCACACTCACAAATTACATCAACACCCCACACACCACACGCACACACACACACACAACCCACAGCCACGCCCACGGCACGCACCGCACACGCTACACGCAAACGCACCACGCACCCCAAAAAACCGCACACGATATACGCACACATACACACACACGCACACACGCTCAACACACCTCGCACACACACACAACAACCCACACAACACGGCGCAAATACACACACACACGGCGCACGCCACACGCACACCCACACACACACACCACACACACACCACACACACACACCACACACACACGAACACGCGCACACACACGCACACGCACACGCACAGAACACGCACACGCACACGCACACGCACATGCACACGCACACCCACACCCACACCCACACCCACACCCACACCCGCACTCACACCCACACGCGCACGCACACGCACACGCACTCGCGCACGCAAGCGCAAATGCGCACGCGAACGCGCACGCGCACGCGCAAGCGCACACGCACGCACACACACACACACACACACACACACACGCGCGCGCGCACGCAAGCGCGCACACACACAAACACACACACACACGCGCACACGCACACGCACACACACACACACAAACACAAACACACACACACATACGCATTCGCGCACGCACACGCGCACACATAGACACCCACCCACACACACACCCTTATACACATACGCACACACACACACGCACACACACACACACACACACGAACACGCGCACACACACAAACACACACACGCGGCGCCGCACACACACACACGCACATACATCATTCACGCTACTCGCACACGCACACGCACACGCACACACACACATTCTGACGCGACACAACACAAACACACACACACACACACACGCGCACACACACACACAACACGCGCACAACACCACGCACACACACACACACGCTTACACACCCACGCACAAACACAACGCCACACACACACACACACCGACACCACCACACACACACATCACGCACACAAACACTCACGCGCGCTCACACACGCACGCTCGCACTCACGACGCACACGCACACAAAACACAAAACCCACACACACACACACACAACACACACAAGCACTTCGCAAGCACGCGCACGCGCACGCGCACCACGCCCGCATTAACGCACACCACACAAACTTCACACGCGCGGCACGCACGCACCCACAACTCACACACACACAACACACACACAAGCACACACACACACACGCACGCACGCACACACACACACACACTCGCACACGCGCACACACACACGCACACACGCACATACACACACACACACGCACGCAAACACACACACACACACGCATACGCACACATAGCGATCTTGGCCTCGCGCGCAGCGACGAGGCAGAGCAAGTCGAGCAGTCAGCACGGAACGAGCGCGCTCGTCCGGACCCTGAGATGTTGGACCCCATTGGCTCAACCTCCCATAGGCCACCCGGGCACACACACACACATGCGCGTACATACGCACAGACACAGACACAGACACAGACACAGACACAGACACAGACACAGACACAGACACAGACACAGACACACATATACACACACACACACACACACACACACACATACACACACACACACTTTTGGCGGCCGCGGCCTCGCGCCCCCAGGCGGAGTAAGTCGAGCAACCGGCACGGAACTACAGCGCGCGGCCGGACCCTCCGACGCGAGACCATTTTGTGTCCCGCCCGCAGGCCACCCGGGCGTGGGTGGCGAGTGAGAAAACTGAGGCGGCGTCCGAAGACGGGGACGGCAGTACACCGACCCACCCACAGCGACGAAACACGGGAATAGACGCACGCCGGCGTGTGACCCGAAGAACCGGCAAAGGCGGGCAGGGCTGGCGAGTCGCCTGAGGGCGGGGCGACTCTGGGGCCCTGCCCAGTGAGAGACGAGTGCGGCCGCAGCCCAAGAAGCGGGGGCAACAGGGAGGGGAGGACCTGCAACAGCGGAGAGCGCAGGGCGAGGCGAAAAGGGGCGTGGACGCCGCCAGGCTGGCGCCGGGGGCGGGGAGGAGGGCGGTGCGGCTGCGGCAGTTCCCTGGAGGGGCCCCGCTTCTGCGAGCCGGGCTTCTCGGCAGGGCCCTCCGCGCCCGCACGCACGATCCAGGCGGGGACCATGACAAGGAGATCGCTGAGGTATGGGCCCCTCTGCTTGTCGAGGGCCCAGTCCTGCTCGAGGAGAGCTGCCTGCGCCGCGTAGGGAGAACCGTCAGCGAGCAGGGCCAGGGCCTGGCTGGTGAGGCTCTTCCGAGAGGACACGGCCACGGCCGATGTGGTCGGTGGGAGATCGCCCCCGGGCCCAGGGAGTGCCCGCTGCTGGGGCGGAGGGGCACCCGCGGCCGGAGTGTGGGGCTCGTCGGGCCGCGCCTGGGCCCCAGGAGCAGGACTCCTGCTCCTGGGGCCCAGGCAGCGGCCGCGGGGCCAACCCCCTTCCTGGAGGGGGGTTGGCCCCGCGGCCGCTGCCTGCGAAGGGAGATCCACTGCGCCGGGGCGCGGGCAGGACTGAGAGGGGCGTGGTGCGCCCGGGGCTGCACTGGGCAAGGGGGGTGGCGGCGTCGCGCGGGCGCCCGCGCGCGCAGCACCGAAGGTCCGCAGCAGCCTTGCAGAGCGACGGACTCCATGTGGGAGCCGGCCGCGCGCGTGCCGCCCGCGGTCCGGGAGGAGCCCCACCACCCCGACTCCAGATCCGCCCTATTTTGTTTTTTCCCCAACTTAAAATTGCGTCGGAAATCCACTTATAAGAGGCCGACAAGTAGGGCGCATAAAGTGGGGCGGAACTCCACAGAAGTAGGGCAAAAACAGCAACAGAAAAGTAGGGCGGGAATTGGCATCAGCGGGGCTTGAGAAGTAAGGCGGACATTCCAAGCCCTACTTACGAATTTCCCCAAAGTAGGGCGGATCTGGAGTCAGGGCAGGGAAGCCGATGGCCGGCCGTGGCGCCCCTTGCGGTGGCAGGGGAGGGGGCGGACCGGGCTGGGGCCGCCTTGGCTCTGGCGCCCGGCAGTGGCCGCCCGCGAGACCGCGGAAGGTCTTGGGGCTCGTGGCGGGCGCGGGGCGGCAGGAGGGGGAGGCGGCGGCGGCGGCATGGGCGAAGCCGAGCCGTAGCCGGGCTGAGGCCAGACGCGCTGCATGCGGCATGGTACCAGCCTCCTCTGGGGAGTGTACCACAAGATGCTGCCCTTGTGTAGGGGAACAAGCGATGACATTGCATAGAAACTCTGAGGTCAGCACAGATTCCTCGGATCGGCGCTGAAGCCCCCCATCGGCGCCTCTGGCGCCGCCCCTGGCGCGCTCCGCGCGCCAGGGAGGGGGGTCCGCGCCGACCCGAGGAGAAATCCGCGCAGACCTCCGAGTTTTGATGCTGATGTCAATGCTTGTTCCCCCCTTGCGGGGGCGGGCGTGGCGCTCTGGGAGGGGGCGGCACCGACGGGAGTCGGACAGCGGTCGGACACTGCATGGCCGCCGTAGTGATTTCTTCGACAGAGATCCGACGTCGTGATTTCTTCAATGCGGGGTCCCTGGAAGTCTCGACCTATTCCCCAGGACCGGTTTTTCATCCTGCAGTCGTTTTTTGACGGTCCCGGGGCCCGGCGACGGCCCCTATAGTGGCCGAAAATTGCGGAAAAACCTCCCGCCGTGATTTTCTCAATGCGTTGGATCTCTGGGGCGGGGCCGCGGCCGCAGGGGGCCGATCCGCCCACGGCACCCGCCGCGCCGGGGCGGCGGGGCCGCCCGCGGCTCCTGCTGCGTCCGTGGGCGGGGGACGCAGATGCATGCCGAGCTGGGGGGAGCCGCTCCCCAGATGGCGGCCCGGCGGCCGTGCCTATAATAGGCTGTGCCTCAGCGAGCTGCTGGGCGAGTGCGCGCTGCTGCGAGAGAGGCCTCCAGCCGTTGAGCCGGAGAGACTCACAGCCGTCCACGACCGCGCTCACAAGCTCGGGAGGCTTGAGCTTGGGTTAAGTCGGGCGTGTCCCTCTACAGGAGGAATATTCAAAAATAGTTTAAAGACATCTGGGGACGATTGTTCGACTATTTTTGACCATTTGGGGGTATTTTTTGACTATTTGAAATTTTTACTCCAAAATCCGCCTGTAGGGGGACACCCGACCTACAGCTTGGGGTCGAGGTGGGGGGCGAGGGAGCCCAGTAGAGCGGCCGCGTGGAGGAGCTCGCGCCAGATGTCCGGCTGCCCGGCGCGGACTCGGGCGGCGCCCCGGCGCGCCAGGTCCTGCGACGGAAGAGCAGCGGCAGGGCTGCAGCCGCGAGGGCACCCCTTCGCTGGGACCGCACCGCCTTGGCAGGGTGCGCGCTCTCCTTGGCATTGTACCCGTGCGCGCGTTTGAGGAGATCGGGGGGGCTGTAGGCAGCCCAGCGGGACGTAGTGCTCGGAGACGAGGGCTCTGTCGTGGCGTGAGAGCTCGGCAGCGGGAGTGTCGGCGAGACGGGCGAAGGGCTCTGTGGGCTTGGCGGGGGGGTCAGAGGAGTGGGCCTGCGCTTACGTCGGGCCGATCCCTCTACAAGGGGGATATTCCAATCTGATACAATACTATGGGGACATCTTTCCCCATGTTTGACTATTTGTTTGATTATCGTTTGACTCTCTCTAATTTTTTGCCCAAGATTTCCCTGTAGGGGGACAGGCCCACCTAAGCCTGCGCCCACGGCCGCCACGTGCGCTTGCCGGGGTCGTCTTGGGAAGCGCCTCTGACTCTCGGTCGGGTGTGATGTTGCCAGAAGTGCCCCTGGCCCAACGGTGCCCCCAGAAT